CTATAGTTAGTCTATAGTCTAGTCTATAGTCTAGTCTATAGTCTTAGTCTATAGTCTAGTCTATAGTCTAGTCTATAGTCTAGTCTATAGTCTATAGTCTAGTCTATAGTCTAGTCTATAGTCTAGTCTATAGTCTAGTCTATAGTCTAGTCTATAGTCTAGTCTATAGTCTAGTCTATAGTCTAGTCTATAGTCTAGTCTATAGTCTAGTCTATAGTCTAGTCTATAGTCTAGTCTATAGTCTAGTCTATAGTCTAGTCTATAGTCTAGTCTATAGTCTAGTCTATAGTCTAGTCTATAGTCTAGTCTATAGTCTAGTCTATAGTCTAGTCTATAGTCTAGTCTATAGTCTAGTCTATAGTCTAGTCTATAGTCTAGTCTATAGTCTAGTCTATAGTCTAGTCTATAGTCTAGTCTATAGTCTAGTCTATAGTCTAGTCTATAGTCTAGTCTATAGTCTAGTCTATAGTCTAGTCTATAGTCTAGTCTATAGTCTAGTCTATAGTCTAGTCTAGTCTAGTCTATAGTCTAGTCTATAGTCTAGTCTATAGTCTAGTCTATAGTCTGTCTAGTCTATAGTCTAGTCTATAGTCTAGTCTAGTCTAGTCTATAGTCTATAGTCTAGTCTATAGTCTAGTCTATAGTCTAGTCTATAGTCTAGTATAGTCTAGTCTAGTCTAGTCTATAGTCTAGTCTATAGTCTAGTCTATAGTCTAGTCTATAGTCTAGTCTATAGTCTAGTCTATAGTCTAGTCTATAGTCTAGTCTATAGTCTAGTCTATAGTCTAGTCTATAGTCTAGTCTATAGTCTAGTCTATAGTCTAGTCTATAGTCTAGTCTATAGTCTAGTTTATAGTCTAGTCTATAGTCTAGTCTATAGTCTAGTCTATAGTCTAGTCTATAGTCTAGTCTATAGTCTAGTCTATAGTCTAGTTTATAGTCTAGTCTATAGTCTAGTTTATAGTCTAGTTTATAGTCTAGTCTATAGTCTAGTCTATAGTCTAGTCTATAGTCTAGTCTATAGTCTAGTCTATAGTCTAGTCTATAGTCTAGTCTATAGTCTAGTCTATAGTCTAGTCTATAGTCTAGTCTATAGTCTAGTCTATATTCAAGTCTATAGTCTAGTCTATAGTCTAGTCTATAGTCTAGTCTATAGTCTAGTCTATAGTCTAGTCTATAGTCTAGTCTATAGTCTAGTCTATAGTCTAGTCTATAGTCTAGTCTATAGTCTAGTCTATAGTCTAGTCTAGTCTAGTCTAGTCTATAGTCTAGTCTATAGTCTAGTCTATAGTCTAGTCTATAGTCTAGTCTATAGTTTAGTCTATAGTTTAGTCTATAGTCTAGTCTATATTCAAGTCTATAGTCTAGTCTATAGTCTAGTCTATAGTCTAGTCTATAGTCTAGTCTATAGTCTAGTCTATAGTCTAGTCTATAGTCTAGTCTATAGTCTAGTCTATAGTCTAGTCTATAGTCTAGTCTATAGTCTAGTCTATAGTCTAGTCTATAGTCTAGTCTATAGTCTAGTCTATAGTCTAGTCTATAGTCTAGTCTATAGTCTAGTCTATAGTCTAGTCTATAGTCTAGTCTATAGTCTAGTCTATAGTCTAGTCTATAGTCTAGTCTATAGTCTAGTCTATAGTCTAGTCTATAGTCTAGTCTATAGTAGTCTATAGTCTAGTCTATAGTCTAGTCTATAGTCTAGTCTATAGTCTAGTCTATAGTCTAGTCTATAGTCTAGTCTATAGTCTAGTCTATAGTCTAGTCTATAGTCTAGTCTATAGTCTAGTCTATAGTCTAGTCTATAGTCTAGTCTATAGTCTAGTCTATAGTCTAGTCTATAGTCTAGTCTATAGTCTAGTCTATAGTCTAGTCTATATTCAAGTCTATAGTCTAGTCTATATTCAAGTCTATAGTCTAGTCTATAGTCTAGTCTATAGTCTAGTCTATAGTCTAGTCTATATTCAAGTCTATAGTCTAGTCTATAGTCTAGTCTATAGTCTAGTCTATAGTAGTCTAGTCTAGTCTATAGTCTAGTCTATAGTCTAGTCTATAGTCTAGTCTATAGTCTAGTCTATAGTCTAGTCTATAGTCTAGTCTATAGTCTAGTATAGTCTAGTCTATAGTCTAGTCTATAGTCTATCTAGTCTAGTCTATAGTCTAGTCTATAGTCTAGTCTATAGTCTAGTCTATAGTCTAGTCTATATCAAGTCTATAGTCTAGTCTATAGTCTAGTCTATAGTCTAGTCTATAGTCTAGTCTATATTCAAGTCTATAGTCTAGTCTATAGTCTAGTCTATAGTCTAGTCTATAGTATAGTCTATAGTCTAGTCTATAGTCTAGTCTATAGTCTAGTCTATAGTCTAGTCTATAGTCTAGTCTATGGTCTAGTCTATATTCAAGTCTATAGTCTAGTCTATAGTCTGGTCTATAGTCTAGTCTATAGACTAGACTAGTCTAGTCTATAGTCTAGTCTATAGTCTAGTCTATAGTCTAGTCTATAGTCTAGTCTATAGTCTAGTCTATAGTCTAGTCTATAGTCTAGTCTATAGTCTAGTCTATAGTCTAGTCTATAGTCTAGTCTATAGTCTAGTCTATAGTCTAGTCTATAGTCTAGTCTATAGTCTAGTCTATAGTCTAGTCTATAGTCTAGTCTATAGTCTAGTCTATAGTCTAGTCTATAGTCTAGTCTATAGTCTAGTCTATAGTCTAGTCTAGTCTAGTCTATAGTCTATAGTCTAGTCTATAGTCTAGTCTATAGTCTAGTCTATAGTCTAGTCTATAGTCTAGTCTATAGTCTAGTCTATAGTCTAGTCTATAGTCTAGTCTATAGTCTAGTCTATAGTCTAGTCTATAGTCTAGTCTATAGTCTAGTCTATAGTCTAGTCTATAGTCTAGTCTATAGTCTAGTCTATAGTCTAGTCTATAGTCTAGTCTATAGTCTAGTCTATAGTCTAGTCTATAGTCTAGTCTATAGTCTAGTCTATAGTCTAGTCTATAGTCTAGTCTATAGTCTAGTCTATAGTCTAGTCTATAGTCTAGTCTATAGTCTAGTCTATAGTCTAGTCTATAGTCTAGTCTATAGTCTAGTCTATAGTCTAGTCTATAGTCTAGTTCTATAGTCTGTCTATAGTCTAGTCTATAGTCTAGTCTATAGTCTAGTCTATAGTCTAGTCTATAGTCTAGTCTATAGTCTTAGTCTATAGTCTAGTCTATAGTCTAGTCTATAGTCTAGTCTATAGTCTAGTCTATAGTCTAGTCTATAGTCTAGTGCTATAGTCTAGTCTATAGTCTAGTCTATAGTCTAGTCTATAGTCTAGTCTATAGTCTAGTCATAGTCTAGTCTATAGTCTAGTCTATAGTCTAGTCTATAGTCTAGTCTATAGTCTAGTCTATAGTCTAGTCTATAGTCTAGTCTATAGTCTAGTCTATAGTCTAGTCTATAGTCTAGTCTATAGTCTAGTCTATAGTCTAGTCTATAGTCTAGTCTATAGTCTAGTCTATAGTCTAGTCTATAGTCTAGTCTATAGTCTAGTCTATAGTCTAGTCTATAGTCTAGTCTATAGTCTAGTCTATAGTCTAGTCTATAGTCTAGTCTATAGTCTAGTCTAGTCTAGTCTATAGTCTAGTCTATAGTCTAGTCTATAGTCTAGTCTAGTTAGTCTATCTATAGTCTATAGTCTAGTCTATAGTCTAGTCTATAGTCTAGTCTATAGTCTAGTCTATAGTCTAGTCTATAGTCTAGTCTATAGTCTAGTCTCTAGTCTAAGTCTATAGTCTAGTCTATAGTCTAGTCTATAGTCTATAGTCTAGTCTATAGTCTAGTCTATAGTCTAGTCTATAGTATAGTCTAGTCTATATTCTAGTCTATAGTCAGTCTATAGTCTAGTCTATAGTCTAGTCTATTAGTCTAGTCTATAGTCTAGTCTATAGTCTAGTCTATAGTCTAGTCTATAGTCTAGTCTATAGTCTAGTCTATAGTCTAGTCTATAGTCTAGTCTATAGTCTAGTCTATAGTCTAGTCTATAGTCTATGTCTATAGTCTAGTCTATAGGTCTAGTCTATAGTCTAGTCTATAGTCTAGTCTAAGTCTATAGTCTAGTCTATATTCATAGTCCTAGTATAGTCTATAGTCTAGTCTATAGTCTAGTCTATAGTCTAGTCTATAGTCTAGTCTATGTCTAGTCTATATTCTAGTCTATAGTCTAGTCTATAGTCTAGTCTCTTAGTCTAGTCTATAGTCTAGTCTATAGTCTAGTCTTATAGTCTAGTCTATAGTCTAGTCTATAGTCTATTTCTATATTTCTATTTTTATATTTCTAGTCTATAGTCTAGTCTATAGTCTAGTCTATAGTCTAGTCTATAGTCTAGTCTATAGTCTAGTCTATAGTCTAGTCTATAGTCTAGTCTATAGTCTAGTCTATAGTCTAGTCTATAGTCTAGTCTATAGTCTAGTCTATAGTCTAGTCTATAGTCTAGTCTATAGTCAAGTCTATAGTCTAGTCTATAGTCTAGTCTATAGTCTAGTCTATAGTCTAGTCTATAGTCTAGTCTATAGTCTAGTCTATAGTCTAGTCTATAGTCTAGTCTATAGTCTAGTCTATAGTCTAGTCTATAGTCTAGTCTATAGTCTAGTCTATAGTCTAGTCTATAGTCTAGTCTATAGTCTAGTCTATAGTCTAGTCTATAGTCTAGTCTATAGTCTAGTCTATAGTCTAGTCTATAGTCTAGTCTATAGTCTAGTCTATAGTCTAGTCTATAGTCTAGTCTATAGTCTAGTCTATAGTCTAGTCTATAGTCTAGTCTATAGTCTAGTCTATAGTCTAGTCTATAGTCTAGTCTAGTCTAGTCTAGTATAGTCTTTTAGTTAGAACACTTTCACGTTCCTCTGTTTGGAAAACGTATCTCCAGAGATTTTAACTCTAGAGAAAACTCTCCGGGTTAAGAAATATCTCTCGGACAAAAAATAGTCGAAAAAAAATTAAAAAAGAGATATCACTCACCTGTGATACTAAAGCTTTGGTTTCTGGTGTGGTACTTTCTAAGAAAATCTTTTTAAATTCACTTGGACTAGACAATTTAAAATCTGAGGCAGACGCTATAAAAGCCTGAATCTCCTGAAGACTCTGTTCGGCCAACTCAGGAGATGAAGAACATTTTTCAATGCGTTGGGAGGTAAGTAATTCGACGCCATTAGCACACCATTCATTAGCCTGGAGAAAACAAGAAAAATACAAAATTTTTGTAAAACTAATCGGTAACAAGTAAGAATTAACTATTGTACCTTTTCAACTCTCTCCATTAGCTCACGATTTTTATTAAGAATTTCCAAACGTTTCTGTAAACGTTCTGTGATTATATCACAAACACGCTGCAGTTCATCACACTTTGGTTGTACGACTTCCCAAGGATAAACACCGCGTGAACCAATAAGTTGTTGACCGGCTGCTATAACCTCAGCGGCCTTATCAACATCACTAGCGCATAGTGTTTGAAATTCTTTCGTTTCCAATATTAAACTGTCAACACGTTCAACACTCTCACCAATTTCGGTCATTTCAGAAACACTCTTAAGGCGGGCATCAAATGAAAACTAAAAAGTAATATAGAAAATAGAATAAAACATTATTGATATCACAAAATAATTGCATGAATGTACCTGTAGTTCTCTAAAACTTTGTTCAAATTTCCTTAACTCCAAGCATTGTTGCAGGCGATTGCGATGTGTTCGCCAAAATTCATCAAAACGTCTTTCGGTTTCCTCCAGCTGTACCAAAAGTCTACGATAGTCCCGACAATCATCATAGTGTTGAGGTTTTTTTCAATTTATATTGTTGATGATAAATAATTTGATGACGTTTTATAAATTGTTGTTGTTGTTGTGGATTTTGTATAATTGTTTGCCCTGCACTGGATCTGCATTATTACTCATAATGAGTTTAAGTGTTTCAAAGTTTAAAACGCGTTTCAATTTAAGTTTTTTTTTTCGGTTTTTGTTTTATCAAAGAACGCGTGTAATTGATTTGTTTAATTTTGGTATTTGAGTCATGTGAGTTATTTTTTTTTTTTTTGCAAATTCAATTGACATGTATGACATTTTAAATTTATGCATTTACATAAAAACAATATTACGTTTTATCACACGTGAGTGAGCGTTCGGTTTTTGTTTTGTTTTAGAGAAATAGAAAGAGAGAAAAGACACACAATATTGTTTTTTGTGATGAGCCATGAAATGTAAACATTGATATGATAATTTTTTTTAAAGATTGTATTGTTGTAGAGAGAGAGAGAGTGTATATGTTTGTTAGTGTTGATTAGTTTTGTGTTGTAATAGAGAGTAGTGCAGCAAGTAACGGGTCAATAATAGATCTAAGTTTCGGTAGGGTTTTAGTTTAGTCAGATATAAATCTAAATAAGGGTTGGAAGAGCTAAACTAAGGCGGCTAAAGATCCGATAGCCAGGGAATTGCAGGATATTAAGACGAGTTAGGAAATATCTACATTTAACAACTTATTTACACAAATTTTAAATCAAAGGAACGTTCCATGATTCCTAAAGAGATGCAACGAGTGCTGCCCAATTAGAAGTAATAAGATCAATTCAGCTTATTGTCAAACATTTCTGCAGGGTACAAATTGAATGTGAATCATGTCTTATGGGAGCCTAATAAGTGGGAGTTTATAGCTCTCTTTACGATTTCATGTAGAGAATTTTCTGTAACAAGAGAAATATTCGAAAAAATAGAACTTTTCCGAAAACGTTTTATAGAAAATAGAACTTTTAACAAAATTTTCCAGAAAAAGAGAACTTTTCCGAAAACTTTTTACAGAAAATAGAACTTTCCCAAAATTTTCTATAAAAAGAGAATTTTTCGAAAAGATAACTTGTCCAAAAACTTTTTACAGAAAAAAGATCTTTCCCAAAATTGTTTATAAAATGAGAACTTTTTTCCGCAAAATTGTCTATAAAAAAAGCACTTTTTTCCGAAAATTTTCTATAAAAAGAGTAATTTTCCGAAAATTTTCTATAGAAAAGTGAAATTTTTCCGAACATTTTCTATAGAAGTTCTATAGAAAGCTTTCAAAAACTTTCTGTAGAAAAGAGAACTTTTCCCAAAAATTTTTATAGAAAAGAAAACTTTTCCGAAAAATTTCTATAGAAAAGAGAAATTTTCCCAAATTTTTCTATAAAAAGAGAAAATTTTATATAGAAAAGAAATTTCCGAAAATTTTCTATAAAAAAAGAAATTTTCCGAAAAATTTCTATAAAAAGAGAAATTTTCTCAAAATGTTCTATAGAAAAATGAAATTATCAGAAATTTTTCTATACCAAGAAATTATCCGAAAAATGTCTATATTTTCTATAGAAAAGTGAAAATTTACGAAAATTTTCTATAAAAAGGGAAATTTTCCCAAAATCTTCTATAAAACTAAAAATTTTCCGAAAATTTTCTATAGAGAAGTGAAAAAGGGAAATTATTCGAACAATTTTTCTAGAAAAGAGAAATTATCCGAAAATTTTATATAGAAAAGTGAAATTTTCCGAATATTTTCTATAGAAAATTGAAAATTTCTGAAAAATTTCAGTAGAAAAGTGAAATGTTCCAAACATTTTCTATGTGAAAAGTCTAAAACTGAAAATTTATGAAAACTTTCTATAGAAAATAGAACTTTTCCGAAAACTTTCTATAGAAAAAGAGAAATTTTCCATTAATGTTCTATAGAAAATTGAAATTTTACGAAAAATTTCTCTAGATAACTGAAAATTTTCTATAGAAAAGTGAAATTTTTCATAGAAAAGTTAAAATTAGAAAATTGAAAATTTTCCCTAGAAAAGTAAAAGTTTCCATAGAAAATTTAAATTTTCCGAATGTTTTCTATAGAAAAGTCAATTTTTCTATAAAAATAGAGAAATCCGAAAATTTTCTATAGAAAAGCGAAATTTTCCATAAAAAATATAAATTTTGCGAAAAATTTCTATAGAAAAGAGAAGTTATCCGAAAATTCTCTATAGAAAAAAGAAATTTTTCGAAAATTTTCTACAAAAGAAAAATGTTCGAATATTTTCAAAAAAAAAAATTCGAAAATTTTTAAAATCCGAATTTTCCGAAAAGAAAATTGTATATCAAAAAAGTTGTTTCACTATCCCTGAAGGGACAAGTTTATGTCGGCTCAACGTTCCATTATATGAGATGGCACCGTAACCGTTAACAGTGGCGACCTGCTATACATTTCCTCGAAAAACATAAGGCTGACAATACTGCAACCCAGAAAATGCACTCAAACAATGAAAAGAGGAACAATAAGAATGAAAAATGGACTCCCTTTGGATGACAAACGCCGCAAACGAATTAAGAATGTTCCTCCAGAAACATAAGGCTGACATTACTACAATCCAGGAAATACGATGGATAGGGCAAAGTGCAAAAGTACAAATCATGTCATTGCGGTTTCGTAGTTAGTAAACGACTGCGAAATATTGTTATCAAATACATTCTCCTGGTTACACCAGGAGAAATTACAGTTGGAAAATTTAGCCTCCATGACGACGATCGGAACATGATGATAGCACTAGATTTGAAAAATGTTAAATTCACAAGGGTTTAATCACATAGAACCAAATAGATCACGATGTGGTAGATGAAGGGCATTCATATAGCGCATTGGATGTAAGACGTTTCATTGATTCGGACCATTACCTGGTAGCAGCAAAAGTACGGACACGCCTCAGTAACTGTATATCGCAGAGACTATTCTTCTCGATTCACCAAACTGCTGTAGTAGAATTTTCGACTCCCTACGGTAGACGAACAATGGTCTTATTTGTCCAATTTAATTCGAACCGCTGCCGAAGAGGTGCTTGGGTATGATCATCCTATAAGAAACTATTGTTATGACCCAGAGTTCCGTGAAGCTATATAACGGTATAGAGAGAGGAGAAAATATGAGCACCGCTAGCTCAGACGTAAGAAACAGAAACTGGAAATATGTGAATGTGAAGAAATCTAGACGAAAGGATTGAGACAAACTAATTCTTTAAGAATATAAAGAACCAGATTGATGGATTTAAATGTACCTCTTCCTGCCGGTATAATAGTGGTAATCTAGTGACGGACATACAGGGTACACTTAGGTTGTGGAAGGAACACTTCCAAGCTATCCAAAATTTTGGCAAGTGATGAAGAGAACCATTTCGCAAATATAAAATTTAATTTCAAGATCAATTATGACGTAACGCCACCTGACCATATGAAAGTTGTCTGAAGAATAATAAATAATATGCCATATGCTGACGATCTGATAGGCAAGTACCAGTGTGGCTTTGGAACTGATTCACCTGGTGAAAACAATGGAAATGCAGATCGACACCCACAACGTATTTGTCGACTATAAAGCTGTGTTTGATAGCTTGATAAAGGAAAAATTCTACGTTGCTATGTCTGAACTTGGTATTCCCACGATGTTCATGCGGTTTTGCTATAAATAGTGGTTATACAACATTAAACTTAATCCTTAATCCTGCCAGGCATTCCTTAATGAGATACCGAATCATTCAACAATACGACTATACAGGATTCAAGGTCATCAAAAGATATACCTTTGCGGACTCTCGTGCTAAAAGTAAAACTTCACTAGCTGGAGAATACACTTTTGTCGGCATAACGTTATCTATTGGCAAACGTTCGATTCATGATTAACTCTACGAGATAGCTTAATCCAACTGGGCTATTGTAGAATGGCGAAGATCATGTGGCCGACTCACCACACATCACAAGTCTTATTATACCTTCCGAGATTATAGCAGCGGAATACTATTGCAGTGTTAACTGGCCACTGTCGTTTTGTCATTAATGAAAGAAGATTAACTCCAGCTAGTAGCACCTTCAGCAGAAGTTGTAAAAAGAAAGAGGAAGTAGAGGACTTTACTCACTTTCCCAGTCAATGCTCATTCCTAGCTGGGAACAGATTCAATACATTAGTCAACCTTTTTCTGAAAGATTTGACGTATTTATCTGAGTAGAATGTCCAAATGATAATGCACTTGATTTGGTTTTGATCCAGAGTAACTAGGTCGAATCATACTAATACTACGACTCATGTATCACAAAGGGATCAATATAATAAAAGAAAATTTTACGCTAGCTGATGATGCCGGCACCTGAACAAGATGTCATAACTACATCCATACATAGTGTAGCTGTAACTTTAGTTATTTTATAAAATGTATAGTATATCTTTAGGCATGTCTAAAAAAATGGCAGTAATGATCTAATGAAAAAAGCTTTAGGAAAATATGTGGTAACATGATGATTAAAACAAAAAAAAACTAGTGTACAAGTTAGGTGATAATGCGTGTGTTTGTGGTGGAATTTGGTGTAAAGTGGTGTAATGAGGTGAGTATAATTTGTGGTGTGTAAACTAGCGAGTGTTTAGTTTTCATTTCACAACACTTAATACGTTTAAAACAATAAAGCAACGAATTTAATTTTATACTAATAACAAATTAAACAATCTAAGCTGACTGAACAATAATAACAACAACAACATGCAGCAAAACTTTGACATTTATAAACAATAGATATTTACTAAAACTATCGAGGTGATCTATAGTATAGATGAAAATTATGAACTGATCTAGTAAGCTATTGTCATAATGAGGAAATTTTTAACGGTTTATTTTGAAGATATTTTGTAAATGGGAGTTTTATTATAAAAAGACTAGCATACCCTGGGTGCTTCGCTACCCTAACTTAAATTAAATACATACAAAATTTTGTTTACTTTTATAGAAAATTAAAATTGATTAAACATTTTTCCCTTTCAGTAGATTCTCATTCACTAAGGTACCTATATATTAAATTTTATTTTCAATATCTATGTTCAATATCGTAAAAATATCAAAAAGTAACATCAGAAAAACGTAAAAGTACAAAAATCTCTCTCAATAAATTCTCATATAAGAAGGACCGTGTGTTCCTGTTAACCATTTGAAGAATAGAAAAGTACCAAATAGTTCCTACTTACAGAATATTATTCAGTCAAGACCATGTATGTTAAAATTAATGTTCCTAGGTTGAATATTTTAGAAAATTAAAAAAGTATGAGATAAAAAGTACTAAAAAGTTCTCTCTTAAAGAATCGTATTCAATGACGACCGCGTATGTTTAATAATCATGTGTTTTCAATTCATATTAAAGAACATACAAAAAGTATCATTTGAAGAATGAAAAAGTACCAAAAGTACCTAAGTGGAAAGTACTACTACTAAAAAGAGTACAATTTTTCCCTTTTTCGCTTAGAAATATACTTTTTCGAGAATTAAGTTTACAAAATGTTCCGTATTTAAATCTATATATCACAGATAAAACTCAAACGATTCAAATCTGCATTCATTTGTCCCAGAAAAATAGTGCTTTCAAAAAGTACCAAACAATTTACTCGAATTTGGTCCTATATAGGCCTTAGTACTCGTATTCCAAAATAATATACCAACAGCTTATTTTGTGTGAGAAAATAAACTACTTTTTCAAATTTTATAAAATTTTATAAATTTTGGCTCAATGAATAAAATTAAATTTAAGTTTGAATAAAATTAAATTTCCCGTTTTTTCCCTTTTTGGTACTTTTTTCACCAGTGAAATAGCAAAAACATTATTACAATAAATATTACAGAGTTAGTCCGTAATTTAATAGGAATAATTCTTAATGTCCTAAAAAAAGTACCATAAATACAGTTTTCTCCCTTTTACACCCAAAAAGGACTGAATTTTAAAAAAGTACGAAACAGGTGTCTCATAATTTTGGGAGATGTATCCAAAATATTTATAAAAATTTTATTATGTTAATTAGTTCAAAAGTTATAAAGGGCCAAAAAAGGTACCAAAATCACCTTTGTTACACATTTTTACCTCTCAAAAGTACGAATTTCAAAAAAGTAGCAGACACCCATCTGCTTATTTTAAGAGTAGATACAGGTGCATTTAACATTTTTCTTGTATCACTAATATTGTGTAAGATAACTAAGAAAACCTGTTTTATCCGTTTTTTCCCCTTTTTACCCGCAAATGTACAAATTTCCAAAAATTCCTCCTTATTGGATCTACATAACCAAAAACACATCTACTGTCAAAATTTCATGATTCTAGGTTCAGCCGTTTGGGCTGTGCGATGATGAATCAGTCAGTCAGTAACGCTACTCTTTTATATATATATAGATACATAAAATTTAAAATGCAGGATGTACTGTGTATGAGAATCTATAAGAATGATGGTTTTGATTATTCTACGTTATTCAAATGTTACTTTTTGAATCTTCTCTAATATGTTACTAAAACACCTATTTGAAAAGAATCTGAAGGAGGTTTTTGATACTTTTTTTGATCTGCAAATAGTACTTTTTGAATTTTCAATTAGGAATACAAGGAAGCATGGAACTATGTACTACTTACTTCTAATTTAATGATAATTTATAAGAAAATAGTTTTTGATACTTTTTCTCTCTTA